CTACTACTACTACTACTACTACTACTACTACTACTACTACTACTACTACTACTACTACTACTACCTACTACGACTACGACTACGACCACGACTACCACTACGACTACCACTACGACTACGACTACAACTACGACGACGACGACGACCACCACCACCACCACCTCCTCTCTTCTGGACCCTCTGTGCTCTCCTCTGTGTTCTCTTCTGCCTTCTCTTCTGTCTTCTCCAAACCCTCTGACCATTTCTTCTGTTTCTTTTCTGGCTTTGTGTTCTCAGGCTTCTCTGTCTTCTCCTTTGTTGACTGACTTGGCTTCTTCAAGATCTTCATAACCTTTGTTGTAGGTTTCTTCATCACAAAGCTTGCCCTTGGCATGTGCCTTTGGCTTGCCCTTGGCATGCGCAGCTGCATTGACTCATGGTCACTCTGGTCAACACTCTGGTGAGGACTCGGTTGTGTAGCAGGCACTTCTGCTTCTCCACCATGACTGGACATGGCTCTAGTCTCTAGTATCTCAAAAAGATCTATATACGGTAATCTTGACTGCTTCCTGCTCTCATGAACCCAAAAGACATGAAGAAGCTCTGGAAACATAACAACCCAGGTACTAACCAACTCCATCTAGTCCAAGTATTCAAGAACAACAACATCAAGTCTCAAGTACTTTGGCCTTTACACAATTAAGACCTCTCCAAGTAACTTGCCTCAAGATGCAAAAGCAATCCAAGAGACCAGGTCCTTTTGAAGTACAAATTTGACACAACCAAGACCTCTCCAAGTAATTTGTCCCAAGACACTAAAGCAATCCAAGAGATCAATTCCTTCTGAATTAGAAGCATTTTTATAGAGTTTTCTTAAAAATTTATGTTTTTATTGAATTTTAGTGGCGCATTTTTGATGCACTTTTGATGATTTTTTGATGCACTTTTGATGAATTTTTTGGGACAAGTTACTTGGAAAGGTCTTGGGGCAAGTTATTCGGCATCCCAAGTAATCATGTATCTCAAGTATTCACAACACAAGTTGACTCACAAGTATATCAAACCTCAAGTATTTCAGCTTATCAGAGTACATAAGCGTCCAAAGTAATCAGCTATCTCAAGTATTCACAACACAAGTTGACTCACAAGTGTATCAAACCTCAAGTTTTTCAAAATCTTCAATGCAAGACCTAAGAAGTCAAATGGTGACAGCCCTCAAATCTCACCCAACAATGAACAGGTCACATGGCACAAGAAAGAACTTCTAAGAAACTACCCCCAAGCACTCAAGACCGCTGACATGCTGCAGCACACACCTATGTTTATCCTTGCTTAGGCCCCCAAACTAGCAACACACAGCTGTCAAAGAACATTCCCACAAGTAACATGGCAAGCCTCAGGCAAGCAGCAAGAACTCACAAGTAACATGCCAAGACTCAGGTCATGCAACACAACCTCACAAGTATAACTTGCCAAATCTCGGGCAAGCAACAAAAACTCACAGGTAGTATGCCAAGACCCAGGCATAATGCAACACAACCTCACAAGTACTATAACTTGCCAAGCATCAGGCAACGAACAGAAACTCACAGGCAAAATGCCAAGACTCAGGTAAAATGCAACGCTGCTTTACAAAATGTCCCACACTGTGCCAAGTAGAACCCTGTGCCAAACATACAATTTTGACATTTGTTTTTGGACAGAGAAAGAACGACACTTCTCATGTGTTGCATAAAAACCATACTTTTTAGAAATTACTATATATAGTAAATCAAATTACTATATATAGTAGTTTTTTACTATATGAGATCACTATTTTTTAGCAGTAATTTTTGTATAGTAACTTTAAGAATTATAGTAATCTATTGTCTTAGTAAAATTACTACTTCAGGGGACTGAGGGTACGACTACTACTACGACGACGACGACTACTACTACGACGGCGGCGGCGGCGGACGACGGACGACGGACGACGACGGACGACGACGACGACGACGGACGACGACGACGACGACAACCTTCATGAATGGCACAGTACCTCAGACAACCTATTTGCGCATTGCTTACGCAACCACAGCTTTAGCTTACTGGCCTGGATTAACAAAAGTCTTACACAAAGCTTATAACGTAATTATGATTCCGAATCCCCAAAGGATTTGCTTGCGCAGCAATACATTTTGCTCTTCACATGTTCATGTAAAGAACAGTACTTACACAAAGCTTGCGCAACAAGTGTGTTCAAAATGGAGCTTCTGCAGCGGTACGACACACAGTGTTTTGCTGCAAAGTTTTGCTTGTGACGGATTGATGTGACATAGATGATTGATGGAATGTCGATCAAGGGAGGTTTTGGCTGGAAGATCCGACTGCGAGAAGCTGTTGACTACATGACAGCCGACAGCTAAGAGGTTGGCGGCAGGCTCTTGGATCAATGCAGGGGACCCAGGTAGACCTATCAGTCAACAAACGCACGAACCCAGGACCGCAGGACTTTTCGCTGCCAGGTCTGCCAGGTCGCTCCAGCACAAAGGCAGCGGCTGCTGCAAGCCAGGCAACCTGCATGGACTGCTCCTTCGGCCGTAGACCAAACATGATCGCTGCGAGTCCACTGACATAACCTTAGCAGTTCGAATTTCGCTGCTAAAGCGAAACAAGACCGCGGAAAAAAAAACATTTTTGAGGTTGGGTAGCTCAACCAAGTGGAAAGTGTCTCTCGAAGTACACGATCACGTTCGAGCCGCGCAAACAAAGTGAGGCGGCTTTTTCACCTCAGGCGGCCTATGGCTCAAGTGCTAGCGGCCCTCCCAGCTGTAGGGAAGGGGGGAAAAGCAAGGCGGTTCGTGCCGAAAATGAGCGGGTAGCTTGCACGCCAGCTCCCTCCGTGGTTGGTGTGGAAGATGTTGGCATTGGTTGCAAACCTCAGGCGGTTGCGCGCTCGGACTCGCACCTCCTCTTGGTATCGAATCCTCATCGTTTCCACCTGTAGCTCATGGTGTTCTCGATGGCGCTTGGAGTCCTTAGTAGACCTGCTGATCAATCAAGCGCTGCTCTGCTTCTTCAGCTGTGTCTGCAGGTGGGCGTTCTGTGCCTCGAGCTCTTTCTCCCGTCGTCGGAGGGAGATGAGTGTTTCTGGCTTGACATGTTCGGTCTGTGTGCTTTGGTCGCGCTGCATGTGTTTGGTGTCAGTGGTTTCCTCCTGTTGAGGATTGGTCTCATCTGATCTGGGAAGCTGCGGTGACGGTGACTGCTTGGTCACTCGGGCACAGAGGTGCCAAATCAGGTTGGCTAGCATTGCAACCATGAGGGCATCAAGTGGTCTTGGAGTTGGTCTGTGTAGGTTCAGTGGAGTGCGCAGTGGTTGTGGTAGCTAGAGAGGCGATCATGGCCATCTGGGCCAGTGGCTTTGTGAGCGCATAGCGCATCTGGCTTTGCTTCCGGCTTTCCAAGGTTTTCTTCTTGGATGCTGTGAAGTTGGCTTCAGGCATGTTGCGTGGCTTCGTAGCCTTTGCGCTAGCAGGCTTGCTGCGCTTTGCTTTGTCATGCCGTCCCCGCGAACTGTAGTTCGCTTGAGACCCATGCATTAGACTGTGGCTCCTGTGCAGGACAATTTGTCCCGTGTCACCAGTACTTCGATGCTGGTGTGCTTGTCAGTCTGTGATGCTGTCTGTAGATCTTGTTTGACCAATAGGTCATAGAGTCCCTTGGCATCGATGATGAGCCGTGGAGAGCGCTTCACCTTTGGTGTGTGGCTGTCTTCCAACACTAGGTATGGTGACCAAATCAGCTTCCAAAATGTGGAAGCATACAGCAGTGCGTCTGCGGCTTCGGAGGCTGGTTGGCGTTCTGCGGCTTCTCGAAGAGTCGAGATGGTGGCCCGACTCACTTGACCGGCCAACATGCTGGTCATGGCCTGGACATGAGGGCTGCTCTGTGTGGAAGGCCATTGTAGGGCCTCGACCATGCCACGTCACTGGTTGTTCGCTCTTACCATATTCAAAGCTGATGGGCTTTTGCTTTGCCAGGTAGGATGTATGTAGTTCATAGTGATGTTCATTGATCCTTTGGATCTTGGCTCCACAGTACTCTATGTCTGTGTCTTGTTCCCAGGTTCGGAAATTGAAGGTCTTCCGCGCGGATGCGATGAACTTTGCACAGTATGGATTGGCCATGTTGCCACATCCCAGGACGTCGTCCACGTGGAGGCCAAAGATTTTTACGAAAGGTGGTTGTTTGTCATCGGTCTGGTTGGTCCAGGTGTCTTCATTGGCTTCATGGTCGTGGATCAGGAAGCAGCAGGGGTCCAATGGGTGGACAGTTGCTCCGAGTCGGGTGACGGCGTTCGCGGGCTTCACTGTAACATGCCCGAGGTGCATCGCACAAGCCATACATTGGTTTCTTGAGCTTCAAGAGGGCATGCTCACCTTCTGTGCCGGAAAGGCCAATGAGCTTTCGTGCATCTCCTGGTAACTTAATCCAGAGTGCGCGGTGACTTGGGTGCTCTTCTCCTTGGAGCAAGGCAGTGCTCACATCTACACTGTAGCTTGTCCAACCATTGGAATGCGACTCAATGTCGGTGCGTCTGTGCTGAGCTGTCCATTCAGGGCGTCAGGGTCCTTGAACCCCTGAGTGATGAGCCTGGCTTTGGGTCGAGGTTCGCCGTTTGGCCACTTGGAACACTTCAAAATTATGCCTTGATGATGCAGTCTGTGGGATTGGCGCCATCGTCATCGACCATTTCCCAAACATTGTTTTGCAAGAAGCTCTCCAGCTCCTTCTTCTTGGCTTCCATGAAGGCGAGGCGATCAGCGAGCGTCATTCTTCACTCTTTGAGCTGATCTTTGCAGGCCTTGATGCTCTGTGGACTTGGGCTGGTATGGCCTGTCTCATCGGCCTGGTATGCCTGTTCTGCTGTTGGTTCGATGTAGGACTGATGGCTGATGTTGTAGAAAGCTTCATAGGCCAAGAGTCTGTATGCTGGTAGGATCTTGAAGCTTGTTTGCCGGGTCCATGTGTGCTGTGTGGTCTCGCTGCCTTGTTGCTTCCAGCGGTCGTACTTGTTCAGGTTGTCGGCGCCAGTTGTCTGCCTGTCTTTGCTCAGGTAGTGTGGTGGCAGTGGGCATCCTGCTGTTGCATCGCTGGGATCGAGGAGTGCATCTCTCGGCAGGTAGTGTCTGCGAATGAGCTTGTCATTGCGAAGCATCCATTCATCCTTACATTCATCTAGGATGAGATAGCCGTGTTCTAGCTTCCATCCAGGTGGCAGAGTTTGGCTGTCTGCCTTGGTGAAGTCTGACTGGTGTTGAAGGTCAAGGCCATCTCTGGGTCAGGTGAGCTTGGTCTTGCATATGGTGTCGGACCATGTGCTATTGGCGTTCTCATAGGGGGTCCATATCTGTTTTGCCCGTGTGTGGGGGGCTGGAGTGACAGTGTTTCTTGACGATCAAAGCGTGTTCGCTGATCTTGGAAGCTCTCTGTTGGTGCTGGTGGTGCATACAGGGACTGTTGATGTTCTGGAATTTGACCGCCATCGTAGTGGACACTTGCTGTGTTGCCGTGCGGCGTCGGCGCTCCGTGTGTGCTCGGCAACGGCTCTGGTTCACCGGCGCAGTCGTCTCCAGTGGCGATCTCGGTGATATCCAGTTCCGTCAGAGGAGCTCCTGAGTTCAGTGGTCATTGCTGGGGTGGCTCTTGTCCGGTCATCTTCGCCCTCATCCATTGGTGGACTGGCGGTTGGGACGGTAGGTTGACTGTTGCCGGCGCCGCTCTGCATGTCCTCAAGAGGAAAGTTGCGCTGCCGGTCCATGGAAGGGCATTGCTCGGGTGGCGTTCGGCAATGTCCAACCATCTTGGAAGACTGTGTGGTTCCTGGCGGGCTGATGTGGCCTCATGATGTCTTGTTGACTGTTCGTCTGATGTCTTGGAAGTTCTGCCATGGTGCTCCGTCATCATTGGTGGGTGTGTAGAGCGCTTGTCTGGGCGCCACATGTATGCCGTGCCATGTTACGCCGTCCTCCTCAATGTCCCAGTAGTCCTGCTGTGCTGGTTGAGGATCTGGTCCTGTCGTGGCCTCTGTGCTTGGTGTTTCTTGCGTGTCCTCCTCATCGTCGGTCATGATCTCTGTCCGCTTCCTCTTGTTTTTGATGAGGTCTGTGTACAGTGTTTCGCTTCTGCCACGGACGTCGTCCAGTGCTTGTCTTGTCTTGCGCTCTGCAGTGGATCGGTATCGCTCTGGCGGTTCAGGTCCGGTCGCAGGTGCTCTCCGGAAACTCGGAGGAGCCCTGTCTTGCGCTCCAGGCATATATCTATCTAGTATCGCGACACGCAGAAGCAAAGATGTTTCGTAACAAGCCGTTGTTTCCTCGCATTCCTGTGAAACGATTATGACTACCACTTCACCTGGATCCGTGGGTGATCCAGTAGGTGTTTGTGGCTGGACCGGCCTGGTTCTGTCGTGACGACAGTGGCCGGCCCTTTCCATTATCTGATTTTGGGGCCAGGTGCTCCGGGTGCATCTCTCCAGTAGTAGACCTGTTGTCCTGTCGAGTAGGTGTACTGGACTGCTTGATGCTGTCTGAGGAGTGCTTGGCGTAGTCGGGCATCATTGTCTGCTTCGATCACTGAACTGGCTGCTTGTTTCTGCATGCTGAGCTTCTGTTCCATGGCTTCGGTCGAAGTCAGCGGTGCTGTTGTCAAGTCGTGGTCCAGGACACCAGGGATGCGTGGCTGCATGCCGATTGCGGGGCTGAAGCCTTGTACATTCGATGCGTGGTTGATTTGTGGGATCGCATAGCAAAGTGCTTGCGCGATCTGCTCTCGGATGCTCACGCGCTGATCGACGTCCTGCTTCTGTTGTTGCGCTGCTGTGAATAGCTCGATGCCTCGTCGAAGGACTTGGTGTCGTCGTTCGAGTATGCCTAGCCGTGTGTGGGCTTGGCCTGGAGAGATCTTGAGTTGGATGCCGTGGTCACTAGTCCATGTTCTTGTAGTATCTGAGCTCCATCCTCGATGGGTGTCAACTTGCAGAGCTGGTGGACCAAAGTGTCTGATCCATCCTCGCTCAAGTCCTCGGATGAAGTCATCCGATTGTTCGGAGTCGATGACTTGTGCGGACATGAACTTGGTTGCGGCATCGATCACGCTGAGGGCTGGTACTGCTTGTGGTCTGTGTCCGCCGTGTCGTCGTGGTAGGTGGACCCAAACTGTGTCGGCTTGGACTCGGCTGTTGTGAAGCTTCCTCCAGTACGGAGGGTGCTCTTGGAGACTTGTGGCGGTGGTCGATGTGCATCACATAGTTGGCAGTGGTGCTGAGTGCTGCTGGACTGCCATTCTTGCTCTTGAGGAGCTTGGTCAGCCCGAGGTTGGTTGGATGTCCCCGGTTCCTGTGAATGCGCTGGACTGTTCTCTTAGCTGCTGACCATTGTGTTTCTTGTAGTCTGGTGAGGATGCCACGGTTGCTGTCCAGCTGCCAGTGCTTGCTGTAGCACTACTTCATGTTCAGCCGGTTGCGCTGCCTCATGTTCTGCCGGATACGCTGTCTCTGTGGGTGGCCAGTAGTGGGCGTGCATAAGGGTGTGCATGATCTGGGCCCACTCTTCACACATGTCGTTGTTATGGCTGCCAATGAGCGGTGAGCTGCCTTCAATGGGTGGTAGTGGTTGTCGTTGCAGGCTCGCTCGAACATTGAAGCCAGGGCGCTGTCTGTGATACGTAAGTTCGTTGGCTTCTTGATGTATTGTTTGTAACGTAGCCGTCGGAGTCTGGTAGCGTTGCTCCATATTGGCATTGGTCCACATGTGCGTCAAAGCCTTCTAGCTGTTGTAGGGTTGGTGTGTCCCAAGATGTTGCGTTCTTGGGGTATTCGAAGATGGAAATCCGCTTTTGGTTGTGTTGTTTGTTGTGGATTGTCTTGTCAGTGGGTTCCCTCTTCGTGCTGTTGCTGCGCCTCTAGGCGCTGTTTGTCTGCCGGCGTCTTGGCGTTCAATCGCGATCCAAACGATCTCTGGGCTCTGGTGGTAGTACAAGTGGATGAACTGCCTCTGGTGGCTGGGTTTGGTGAAGTCCCAACCGCTCAACAGGGGAATCCAAGCGCTTCCATGTGTGTTGCCAGCACTGCATCGCCAGCATAGACTTCCCAGAACTGCATCTGGTGGTTGTCGTGTGCCGTGAGCGCTGTCTCCAATGTTTGCCTGTGAGCTCGATGTAGCGCTGGAGTGTGTAACGCTCTGCTTGTGCTGGGTGTTGTGTCAGCAGGTTGAAGGTCTCCTCCATCATGTAGTCGAACTCGTAGCTTGTGTTGTCCGGTAGGTCTTGTAGACCTTGATCGAGTTGCAGGAGGTGTTCTCCTCTGGAGCCAGTGACGATGGGCGTCCATGGGCCTTCATCAACTCGCACGGTGTCTTCCATGAAGGTGAGCTGGAGCTTCATGGCCTTGAGGATAGGCCTGCCGATCAGGAGCGGTGTGGCTCCTGGAACAACGAAGTCCTCCTTGGATGCATACAGGCATGTGTACTGTCCATTGTGCTTCAAGGCTCTTGTCTCCGCCGACTGCAGGGTCTTCTCCGCAGGGCGGAAGTGGAAACTGGAAACGTTGCCGGTGGTAACTCTCCATGTTTTTCATGAGGATGTCATGGCCAAGGACCATGCAGCGTGCCCCACCGTCCATGGTGCCGAAGAGTCCCTTAGGGATGCACTGGTAGTCCTTCATTTCGAACTGGACCATCATGGCTGTCTCGGCTTTGGCCTTTTTGGTGGAATTGGTTGGGCTATTGGTGGCGCTTCTCTTTTGAGTCACTGAGCTGCAAAGTGTCCAGGTTGACCACATCGTAGGCAGGTCTTGTTCTGGCTCAAGGGAGCTTTGCCTCGGCTCTTGGCGTCACCTTTCTGCGGCGGTGCTCTTGTTCCCTTTCCTTTTCCTTTTCCTCCTTTGGAGCGAGGAGGGAATGGTCTTTGTCATTTGTGCCGTCGATGTGCTGGATGAAGTTGGGCTGTCGGTCAAGGCGACAACTGGATAGAAGCCTCTATTGTTGCGCAGCTCTGCAAAGCGGCGCCTTGCATCCAAGTAGGTGGCATAGGCTTCTTCGTACTCTGGGTCCTCTTCATCCGGGTAGTCCTCATCGTAGGCGGTGTAGTTGACGGTTTCGTCATCAGGCTCTTCATCGTATGCCTCATCAGCATACTCTTCATAGCCTTCTTCATAGTAGGCCTCTTCATTCTCAATCTCATAGGTCTCTTCCATGGGCGTCGGTGGTGTTGTCCTCGTACATGGTGTAGGCCTGAGCTGGTTTTCTCCATTTGCTGGCGCCTTTTCCTTTTCCACCTGTAGGGCGTTGAGAGTACCCAACTTTGCCACGGTAATCCTGGCCGTACAAGGCCTCTTCAACTTTGCTCTCCTCCAGGCTGGAGCCACATTGGCTTTGAACCAGGTGTTTCTGGTCTTGTGACAGACCACTTCTTCCGAGCATCAACCATCCGGCGATCTCGTGGCAGCTTGACTCCGTGTTTTTCGACTTCACGAAGCGCTTCTCTATGTTCAGCGCAAAACAACATCAAAGTTTGGTCGTAGCGCCTGCTGAGGCTGTAGAAGAACTTCTCGAAGGATCTGAGTTGCTCGACCCGCGTGAATCCTCCATCTTTGCCTTGACTAGTGCCTTCACTTGCCCATTCTGCGATCGGCTCAACCTGTTTCCAGGCGGTACCTGACACGGTGGTCAGGAGATTGATGACCCCTTCTTTGCTTCTTTTGCAGAACCATCTTCTTCTGGTATAGGTGGATTCTGGCTCTCCACCCTTTGTAATCCTGAGGCCTGTTGCTGAAGTTGGGCACCCAGGAACCTTTGCTTGCATCCACGCTCGGGGATGCTGCAGCTGATGAACTTGCCATACGATGAACATCGTAGCAGGAGCCCTAAGCCTTGCGGCTCCGCTACCAATTTGAGGCTGGGTAGCTCAACCAAGTGGAAAGTGTCTCTCGAAGTACACGATCACGTTCGAAGTGCGGCGCAAACAAAGTGAGGCGGCTTTTTCACCTCAGGCGGCCTATGGCTCAAGTGCTAGCGGCCCTCCCAGCTGTAGGGAAGGGAAAAGCAAGGCGGTTCGTGCCGAAAACGAGCGGGCTTCGGCTTTCAACCAACTCATGCCGCTGCTCAAACATGTGATGGCATCACATTCACAACATTAAAACACCATGCGCCCACAGCCAGGTCAGCACCTCCGTTTTGTTAGCTCTCGAGCCAAGTAGCTTAGGAAACCACAGGCCACACAAAAGAAAAGTCGGCCCTTTGGGCTCTGAATGCAATGCTGTGGCAGCAGTCGCGCGCTGATGGAGATCGCCATGGTGAAGAGGCCTCAGTGTCAGCGTGTAAAAAGGAATCAGTATCATTGAGATTCATTGATTACTCACATGGTTTGGGAGGTGATTGTGTAGCACGCTCATGCATGCTCGGTTTGTATGCAGCTTTCTGGCACAAGCTGTGGACTGTACTTTCGTTGGGCATGCCGTCAAAAGGCTATTGCACAGCATCCCCAACGGCATAGACAGCATGGCGATTCTGAACTCGTCCGATGAAGCGGTTTGTAGAAAGAAGCCGACGCTGCCCACCACCGCCACGTGAGGGACACTGCCCAAGACAGCACCAATCACGGGGCCCAGTCTCTCCACCAGTGCCGAGACAACGACCTTAACTGCTGGAGCCGGGGTTGCGGTCATGGGAAAATGGATACGCGGGATCAGCTGCAATTTCGTCCGTTCTGCTGTGACCTTCAATGTGAATGTGATTGTGAGATCCTTGATCTGTGCTGACTTGCTCTAATTTGCAGTTGCAATGCCGATGCTAAATCCTGTGTGACTTGTTGGTCTGCTAAATTCGTATCTTATCTGCCACGCTTTCCTGTGATTTCTCTCTGCCAGGCGGGTGAGCCACCTGATATGGTGGTTTCACGCGATTCCTACCTTTTATCTTTGGCAAATGATGGTTGCTTGGATGAGTGTCAAGTCTCCACTCTTCTATTGGAATTCGGAGGATGGGTTATATATTACAATAAAGCTTAATTGGACGGAAATCGGGGTAGGATTCCATCATATAGCCCGATGTGATGCATGCTCCAAGTCACAATAACCAGGCCGGCAACTGTAGCTGATGCGATCTCCACCACCCAAGTCATGCTGTGAACGGCTTTTGCCAAGCACTGGATGCCCCTCTACAAAGAGTTGGGCAATTGAGCTGAGTTGGTTCTTGGGAACCACACGCCCCGAGCCGTTTCGGTAGAGAGGTTAGTGCACTCGATCTGAGAACAACTCGACTGGCCAAGATGGCCAAGACCGACCACTCATACAACTCAGGGGGTCCGCACTTTCAAAGACGGTCACTAACCTCTCTTTGTATGCTAGACTGATAAACCACACTGTTGGTGTGACTGCAACTGCTGGAGCCAAAGAATCCCATTGTTTTCCTGTATGTATGCAACCCATTCCAACTGATCCAAGCATTGCAGGTGCTAACTCGACAGCCGCAGAGTTGCACCTGTCGCCCTCCGTCTCAAAGCTCCTGAGCCAAAGAGGTTCTGCTGATTCCGCGTAAAATATGCCTGAGGAGTGTACAGGAGCCCTTTGCCATGAGGGCCTTTGGCATCCAGTCGAAAATCACCAAGCAGGGGACACAACCTGGGCAGCTCGCAAGCTCGCAGGTTCGCAAAGGGGGTCAACCAACATGCCAAGGCACGCCACCAGAGCCTCGCCTTCAGCATCCTCAAGTTCAAGTTGGAGGGGGCTACACCTCTACAAACGAACCTAGATGATCCTTAGATGGCTGGAAATCGACTTAACTCATCACATCACTACTCACAAAAAAGTACAGGATGTAAGATGATGTAAGGAGCAAAAACTTGAGTGTCCACAGGTTCTTGATGTTCTCTGATTCCTTTTCGAGCTTGGGATATCATTGCACATTGGCAAGCTTCATGGAGTGCCCTCGGAATACTAAGGAACTGTGAAATGTCAGCACTGGTGGCAGCTCCCCCTCAAGATTCTTGTGTTCTGCAAAAACCTCAATGACACTGTAAGTCTAGAGTCTAGAGACTTCAACATGATTCATGTATGCCTTATGCCGCCGCATGCTCGATGCTCTTCTTTCTCGGCAGGATCACTTCACACCCGATTGATACATAATTTTCTGGAAATCCCAGAAGTAAAATCCGTTGGTTCGATTCCTCAAATTCCATTACCCTTGGCTTCGCCATCTATCACTTGTACCACACACGCATCACCCGTTCACATCATCGTCCTTTCAATCGGCTCCTTGGCTTTGATACTCTTGGTCTCAACAGTGGCCAGCGCCCATCGGATTTCATCGGCCAAGGCCTCGCTGCACTGCGGACGGCTGCGGTGAAACGACGTATCAAGAAGCTGCCATGTTTTTCACGCTTTCCATTGTAAACCATAGAAAGACCAAAAAACATGTAGGATTTTGGAGGTCAAAGGCAGGTGGGAAACAGTGTTTGGGTGTGGACCAAGAGTCAAGATTAAGCAACTGGTATCTCTTGCACAAGAAAAGTCTCTCTCTCTCTCTCTATATATATAGCTTTTTGTTGTTCTTCTTCTGCTCCGGGAGCTTCTCCGAACTTCTCCGATAAATAAAATATTGTGTTTAAAGCCGTTTATTTCAATTGTTATTCCATTCTGGCAGCAAAAAGTATTAGAGCATTTCATATTATGATTGTTAATCCGCCGACCCCACACCGTGGGGTGAGGCGTGACTGTTGATGGATAGCCTTAGCCTTGGCCTTAGCCTTAGCCTTACACCTTAGCCTTAGCCTTATCCTTAGCCTTAGCCTTACCTCCCCTACCCCTCCGGACCCTTGTTGCAGAAATGCCACAAAATGGTGACGTGGATCGTCCAAGATTTCTCCATCCCAATTGATTTACATCTTGGGGCATCCTCTCCACCCGCGCGGTAAAATAAGCGCGGTCCAAAATGGTCCCGGGCTCGAGTCCCGGGGTGGTCGCGGCGTGATCCTCGCCAATACCCTTGGTTTTTCCTAGATTTTGTCACGTTTTCTGTTGGATTTGTAGGATTTTCAAAGGCTTTTCCAGCATTTTCCTAGGATTGCTCTTGGCTTTCTTTAGGTTTTGTCACGTTTTCGGCTGGATTTGTATGCTTTTCAACGGATTTTCTAGCATTTCCTGTTGTTTTTGGGTTCCCAGATTTCCCCACAAAATTGCTAACCTATTGCTAACCCATTTACCCCCATTTGCAAACGTTTTCCGCTGGATAGTGTTATTCCTGCTTGCTTGGGTGTTACAGGAACATATCGTGACTCTAAAGATCTCCTATCTGCGGTCTGCAACCTTTTTCTGCTCTTCACTAGCTGGCGTGCTGCCAGCTCGCCGGTGGAACTGACCTGGCCGGGACAGCGCTCCTTCTGTAGTGCTTTTTGGGTTCACATATTTGCCTACAAGAATGCTAACCCAAATGGTACCCAAACCGGGAGATGTACATATCCCACCTGCGCTTTTCGTGGATGGGCCGCCGACCCCAAGGGAAAATGTAGTGGCAGGGTTGGGTCCCGGGATGGTCGCGGGCAGGAGCCTACGAGTGGAATTGGTGTTTCATAGAAGTGGGTACGTTTTCCGCTGGATTTGTAGGATGTCAAAGGTTGTTTTGGGTTCCCAAATTTGCCCAGAAAATTGCTAACCTATTTTCTTCCGTTGTTATACTCGTGCCGTTGACGCGCGGCGCCTACCGCTTCGACGCGTCAGCAACCGACAGCGCTCTGAACACAACTGTGGCGTTTGAATGTACCCTATACCGCAAAAGGAATCCACGAGGTCACCAGGTCCGCGCCGGCGGACCCTCCCCTGAGTCTGCGGATCAACTAAATTTAGTAGGCCAAAAAATTACTTAATTTCCATTAGTAAAGTAAAAAATTAGCAAAAAAATCAAAGTAATTTTTCCATAGTAAAATTTAGTAAGACAAGTATTTTAAATTAGTAGGGCTAGTAATTTAATTTAGTAAGGCTAGTAATTTTTTTAGTATGTGAAACATGTGTTGTCATATGTTGTTTTTTGTGTGGTTTCTGTTATTTCTGTGTTGTTTTGTTTTTGTTGTTTTGTTCGTTTTGTTGTTTTCTTGTTGTTGTTGGCTGTGTTTAAGTTTTTGCAAGAGTAATGTCACCAAATTTGTTCACTTTTGACTCATGTCACATGTCGCATGTTCTTGAAAACCGCCTTGTTTGTGTTCATGATCAACCTCCCCCTGTCTATCAAACAGGCTGTTGACAATTAGGGTTTGCTTTTCTCTTTTGCCATGTTTGAACTTCTTTGTACTCCCCCACTCCCTTGCAATCCACTCTGGGATCTCACCGGCAGCAAACATCTGCGTGAACTTCTGTTGCTTGACTCGGTCTCTGGTCTCTGCACTCTTGCTCTTCTCTGGGTCTACTTCTGGGCCCTCCTCCTTCTCATTCTCTTCTTATGCTTCCTCCTCTTTGTCCTTCTCCTCAGGCACAGGCACAATGCCCACCTTCCAGCTTTGCCAGGTTTGTTCTTGTCCTGAAGGTCGCTTGAAGGGTTTTGGCACTGATTTGGGTGGCTTGGGCTTGGACACAGTTGACTTCTTGATAACCTTGTTCTTTGCCTTTTCCTTGGGCGCAGTCTTGGGAGCAGCTTTTGCCTTTGTTGATGATTTCTTCAGGACTGAACCAGGAGTGGCAGAAGGCTTCTCACTATCTTTCTCTGACTTTGATGGTGTTTGGGCCACCATAGATTCATTTGGCATTCCATCAGCCATGAGCGCAGTGGATCACTCACAATACATTACAAACTCTCAAAACAAAAAGCGCAGAAAGTTGTAGGAAGATTGAAGATGGCACTCAATGTACTGTTCACAAGAACTGCCCACCAGTTAATGACAGAAGTTACTGAAGAACAAGCCACAAGAAATTACACATCTCCAAAACAAGAACTTCTGACAAGTAAATGACACTCAAGACCTGTTCACAAGCAAATGCGCATCTTCACAACAAGAACTGCTCACAAGTAAATGAAATTATTCATAGGAATTCTATTATTGGAGAACTGCTCTCAAGTAAATGTTGAAGGGTTATGTAAAAATTTGCTCAAGAGTACTGTTACATGCCACTGCATTCGTAGGTAAAATGTGCAAAAAGAACTTCAACAACTATATACAGTTTGTATGCAGTTTATATGTAGTTTATACCCTATAGATCAGCTGAGGTTAAAAATAACCTCTGAGGTTATTCCCAAAAAAAACCTCAACCATTGAATAACCTCAAGTTCTTGAGGTTATTTTTTGAGGTTATTCTTAAAAATAACCTTGAGGTTATTTCTAAGAATAACCTCAAAAACATTGGACATCTTTCTGAAATCTTGGAGGTTTCCAATATGATTAACATCAAATAGTTTGTCAAATAGCTAACAAATATATCCAACCAGCCATCAATATTTCAGCAAAAGTTCCAAATCTTTACCAATAACTACAATATTTCAGCCAAAAACCCAAATGCTTACACATAACTGCAAAGGACAAGCCTGGGTTCCATGTAAAACAACCACAGAATGTTTGCAACTTTTTTGTTTTCTATGTGTGGAAACCAGAAGGAAAAGGAACAATCGCAAAAAAAGGAAACAGAAACGGACGAGGAAAAGGAAAAGGAAAAGGATCAGGAACAGGAAAATGAAGAGGAAAAGGAAAAGGAAAAAAAACAGCAAGGAAAATGAAAAGGAAAAACGAAGAGGAAGATGAAAAAAAAACAAGGAAAAGGAAAAAAGGAAGAGGAAAAGGAACAAAAAAAGGAAGAGAGAGAGGAAAAGGAAAGGGAACATGTTTGTTGGGGAGAACGAAAGTGCGGAAACAAAATCTAAAGACTAAAACTGTGGGCAATTTTTTTGGTGAGGAGAGTTCAGGAAGCAAAATCTACTGAATAAAACTGTGGGATTTTTTTTGGTGATGAGAGTTCAGGAAGCAAAATCTAATGACTAAAAC